ACTTTTACTTTTCTAGTAGTGCCTTGCACTTAACCTTACCAGCCCCTCAGGCCAGAGTGAATTCACCCAGCAGTAAAAACCTTGACTCCTGAAGATTAAATCAATCACTTTCAGCAACTGCATATGTCTCTTGGGCAGTTTTCAGTTACTTCCACGGTTACTCTCATTCGGATTTTTACTACTCTGTTATTTTTTAAGCACAGCTATTTTCTATCTGTTGTTTATGAAAATGTTCAGAGGTGAGAGTGCATGTTTTAACTTGCTTTACTTCACAGTTTCATTATATCAGACATTCACCCTTTGGAACAGCTTGCTGGAAACAGACTACGGTCGTAGCAGCCACTATGACACAGTTAAAAGACAGGAACATTAGTCAAGGCAGCACTCTTCCAGACAGTTTCGTATTTCTGCTTTAACACTTGAGGATTTGTAGCTCTGCAAAGTTAGTTTTGGGGGGGTTTTTTGGCTTTTTTTTTTTGCTTTTTTTTTTTTTGACTTCTCTTGTTGCTTTTTTTATTATGCAACCTGAAGACCAGCAATATTAATTTCCAAGTTCAGCTCCCCCATAAAGCAAGAATTATCCACTTTCCTCTATTATTGTCTTATTAGGCTTTAGTAATTTGGACTCTATGAAATTACACTATAGTTCATTTTGGAATTGAAATTGTTCTTCTAACACCTTTATTTTGCAGACTTTTCCTACCCTGTTTTTAAATTCCCCAACTACAACACTTAAACATCTATTATGGAGCAGGATTAAATGCTTCAGAACGCTATTGAAGACTGATGGTAATTGTAGTCCAGTGCATAAAGCTGCTACAAAATACACAAAAGTCACCATTAAAAATGGTTGTTTGTGGATTCCCATCATCTTGAAGCCATAATTAATGTTTCCATATTAAGGAATAATATCTCATCTCTTATATTTGTGTTTGAATTACCTTAAAAAAAGCACATTAGCATTGACATTGATTTACTCTAAGGATTCTGACATTATGAAATCAATATTGCTACAGTATTTATTTTAATTAAATTCAATGATTTTCATTTGTTTACATAATGTTACTTTCCCCCATATCAAACAGCTAAATTTAAAGATATTCAAGAATGAAATGTCTAAAAATCACTCTTACAGGCAGGAATCAAATGTACGAACAAAATTAAAGCACCTTCTACAGAAACATTACTTCCTACCTATCACACTCATAGAATTCCATTATCGTAGTGGCAAACAGTGTACATGGTTTGACACGGAACATCACTGACTATTACTGTGTTGCAGTTGTCTTCAGACAAGATGAAAGTAGCAACCAAATAAAACTGCAGCTGTGCTCACGTAGGAAGAGTAACACGAAGAATTTGAAAAAAATATACTGATTCCAAGCCAAATTAAAATAGTTAATTAAAAACCAGAAATAGCACCTTTTCGTCAAAAAGGAATAACGTGGAGGAAAAAGGGATAGAAAGTGTAACAGAAAATCAAGTTTCAGGCAAATATGTCCCTCATCCCACATAAAGATAAAAAAGTTAGTATACAGGCAAATTAGACATTAAAGAATCCTGGACATCTCTGTAACACAAGGCGTATACAGAAAACACACTCAGCTAAAAGAGTTTATTCAACACTTCTTCGAACGTGCAGCCTTACGTATTTCTAGCAGAGGAATTCAGCCTTACTGCCCAGGACCTCACGGAAAAACTCCAAACCCTTAACGACACTGTAACTCAGTATATGCTACACTTAATTATTACCTACATCCTCTCACATAGGCTTTGCACTTCTTCTTACATTCTGCAGTGCACAACCCACAGAATCTTTTGTCTTTCCTTTGCAAGAGAAGGGCCCGTCCTTACTGAACTCTTGCGAGTAAGAAACTCTCAAAGCTCTCACAATGAAGAGAGATCAATAACCTGCAGGATTCACTTTAGAAGGAGGCGTAAGGATGGCACAGCTCAATGTGATCCCAAAAGCCTGCAGACTGCTTTATTCTTCCTGGTTTTCTTCGGAGAAAAACATGAAAGAAGCAGTGCCATGTGATCTTGCAGGTCCAGATAATGACCAGTATCTCACTGAACTATAGGAAGAAGAAAAAAACTAGTCCTATAGAACTTTAAGTACAGTCAAAATAAAAGTTTCATATCAAAGAAGAGTAAACTAAATAAAAAATAACCTTTTTTTTTTTTAAAGGAAAAAAAAAAAAAAGGCCCAAGCACTCTTTTTGCTTCCCCTTTCAGGAGAAAAAAATCGCTTGTTCAGCAAGTCTGCCTCGAATTGCTCTTTTTATTTCTAAAGATAAACTACATCACCATCTTGGCAAAAATCCAAGAATAAGTGGAACAGGAAATTAATAGTTCACATCCACAAGGACAAAAGTCACTAGTGATCCAGATTCATGAAAAAATATGATAAACTACTGAAATAGTCTCTGTGCACCCAAGAATCTTCAAATGGAAATCCATTTTAGAAATGTGCCTGTTTGTGCGCTGTTTCTATAAAATGTAACTAGGCTCTTTTAATATCTTGAGTATAACTGATTATTCCCAGAAATTAGTAACTCATTTCCATCCCTAACACTAGCTTGCTTTTCTGAAATGCATCACAAACCAAAGCATTGCCATCATATGCAAGAATGAGATTGAATCTTCTCTCCTACATAATCTCAAATCTTATTTGAGTTAAATGGAGATAAACCAAAAATTCATTAATGCCTTTTTGTAAATTTTATTCCCCTGACAATTATTTGGAAAACAGTAATATTTGCAGGTATTATACCACGTGAAAGGGAATTTCCAGTTTCCCATTCATACACGTATTAGAGCACTTTCGTAATCTTCCAACACACACAACTTCCCTCATCTCATACAATTAGCTAGAACAACTGTTTCTAAAAGTTTATGGCTTCTTCACAGAAGTTCTCTACTCATATCTTTTAATCTTAAAACAGAATTTTTCAACTCTCAGACTGCCTGAAACCGTAATTTGATAAAATGAACATTTTTGATACTAACTGAACAGATGTAATAGGTAGTGCAAAACCCAAGTTCCTCTATATACTAATTCATTAATATGTACTACACATGCCTGCTTCAATGAGGCATGATTTTCAGAAAGGAGAGCCAACAGACCTTTAACTCTCACACATGTAACAAGCACAGTCCAAATCTCTCATGCCCAGACATTACCTATAAAGACATTAATGAAATGAACTGACAAAGCATTTTCCAAGTGATGCTATATTTGGACAATAGTTAGCCCTGTGGTGGTGTTTTGTTGTTTTGCTTTTTTTTCCTAAAGGGGAAAAATGTTCTGTAATCAGTATTATAGAGCATCCCCAACCGATTAAGTTACTAAATGAGGCAGAGTATTTTCAAGACAAAGAGCTAGCTGACAAGGTTCACAATGACAAACTACTAATATATTCACTTTTTTTGGAGGCTCAGAACACACCCATCTACCAGCTCCAGAAACCAAGCATAACACAAACACAGACACACAGCATACATGCTGGTATTTCAGACACGCTGGGCATTTCTGGCCTATCAGTTAATCTTGAACATGACCCTTCGGTCGTATTATTCAGCAGTAAGAGGGAGGTATAAGAATCAAGAGATGTTGGACAAAATTACTTCTGTATCACACAGAAGTTTGAGTTGTGTTTTTTAAACTATTTGCTGCATAGTAGCTACAGAATGAACATAAGAGTTTCAAAGCTTTGCCCATATAAAAAGTCTTTTTTGTACTACCATTCCTCATCTCGACTCTAAACTCAATCCTAAAGTGCTCAGGATCTCTTTAGTAAATGAATAAATTCTGAACATGTACTTTCTCTACTTGTCTGCTGCTTTCACATACTGACGATGAGCAATATGAAGGTGTATAAATTAGACTTTTTCATACCTCCTTCTTAATATTCTACCATATTTTGTTAATTCAAAAATTAGGTCTCTGCTGATTTTTGGCAACTTTTAAAAGTGTCTTCTGAATAAATGTGCTTATATAGCATGTACAACCACAAGCTTTCTCACAGCCAGCATCTATTAGCATGCACTAAGTGCCCAAAATCACTAGGTCATTTTAATACCACCTACTACTTTCTTTCACAAGATAATCTCAATTTTTCCTCCACTGAAAAACATGTGATTTATTTTTATCATTTTATAATGGGTAAAAATCAGCACAGGATGCAAGTTAATGGCATGGGATGCGCTGTACAGTCACGCTGATTCACCTTGCTTTGAGTGAGAATACAGAGCAGATCAAAGAGAACAGCTCTCACCAGGTAATTCTGGTCCCGGCAAAAGAAGACCATCTGGGCTGGGCAGAAAGGCAGTTTATAGTATCAGGAAATGAGATAGACAACACATTTTCCAGTTTCACTATGTTTATTTTTCCTCCAGTATACTGGCAGCAAAGATTTTGAAACTGTGTTCCTGAGGGTTGTGTGCTTTTTGGAATGTGTTAAACGTGATGATTGTTCAGTCCCCATGTGTTGCCTGATCTAGTTGAGAGGCGTCCCTGCCCAGGACAGGGAGGTTGGATTAAGTGATCTCTAAGGTCCCTTCCAGCCTAGGCCATTCTATGATTCCATGATCAAAGAAAACGCGCAGTTTTTTAAAGTATCAGAATCTTCTCAAAAGTGAAATATTAAAGTATGTTGTATTTCCTCAGCCTTAAAGCAAAGCATCCTTAGAGTGAAAGAAGGTGAGAAAGCTACTGTTTGTAATAGTTCAGCATTGTCCTTTAAAGGTGATAAGACCTTTCTGCATCTATATCTAAACCAGGTGAAAAAAAAAATCTCTCTTAAAAATACTGTTCAGTTCTGGGAAATAATTTGATCCACACTAAGAAATTATAAAGATCAAAATAATATCTAAACTTCATTTTAGGATACAGCTCTCTGCAATCTTATACTGTCTGCAAACTTACTGCTGCAATATTAACTGGATTTCAAAAGTAACTTCTGGAAATAGAAACCAAAAACTTGCATACAAATACTTACTGCAGGGATCAGTAACTTTTTTACTTCTTCAACAGCCCTCTTCAGTTTAATTTCTGCTCTGTTCTGAGCATCCTCCACAGTGATAAGTACGTGTAAATCTTCATTCAGGTGTTCCCAGTTGGGCTTGCCTCGGTTCTGTTCTTCCTAAAGAAAAATTAAAACACGGAAGCTATGAAGTACTGTTACATTCTCTATAAAACAAACACATGAACAGTACATTAACTCAGTTCTGTGAATAGTACAAACTGCATTTTCAGCAAGATGAGAAAAGACTTGTTCATACTGTAGAGACTTCTACGTGATTACTCAACAAGAACTTAAACGTCAAAATATCTTTTGGGCGATTTTGTTTGTGTTCTGGAACCTCTTTTTTCTTTTTTTTTAACTACAAAACAAATGTGATCTCTCAAGAAGTACTACACAGTACCGCTTTCAATACTTTTTGTAGCCTTTAAAGAGTTACCTACAGACATAATATACGGAAACTCCATCTAAATCACTCCAAAGGACAAGTGAGCAATTCTTCAGTGTTAAAAAATGCTATTAAATACTCATGAAAAAAAAAAGTTCAAGAATCAAATACTACAAAAGTAATAGAAGTTGCAATTTTCAAAGCTGAGCTACATGTACTGGATGAAGGGCAAAGAGGAGATGACAAGGGCAGAAGTCACAGAAAAGCATGTAATGAGAAGGTCACCATTACACAGATACTCTGTTATGTTCATGGCATTAATAATTCCAAAGTGATGTTTTAGAAGAGGGAGGGCATGCTAAACAAAACATTTTTTTAAAGGAAACATTGTCAAAAAAACAGGTACCAGTAAATTTAAGTAACACATTCCACCATCTAGCCTTTCAAAAAATAAAATAAAAAACACAACACAGATGAAATTTTACAACTCAATTTTTATAAAACAGTGAATAAAGCTAGCTAAGTTTCCCTGAAACTTAATTTTGACAATAGGTAAAATGTAATAAAAATAGTAAATAAAGCTAGCTAAGTTTCCCTGAAACTTAATTTTGACAATAGGTAAAATGTAATAAAAATAGTAAATAAAAGGGGGGAGGGAGAAATCAAAACTTTAGTAAATGAGAAAAGTTTATTACAAGTTTTGAATCTAAATAAAGGCCTACATAAACACAAAACACTTATTTAAAATAAAATGGAGCTTCCTACTTGTAGAACAAAAATCTGTAGTTTAACTACAATTCATATTAAAAAAAGAAAAAAAATGAGCAAGCAAAAGGAATTGCAAATGTGTCCTTTTTGCCCAAATTTCATTTACATTCTTCTAGGAAATCAGACATGCAGAGGAAATGTCTGAAGATTTAAGACCGACAAATACTTGCAGTACTAAACATATATCTGAAGGAACACTGCTCCTTAGAATGTTCTATGTTTAATTCAGCTACTTTAAGTCTGAAATGTTTTATGGAACAGACAAGGATAAAAATGTGGGGCAAAGAGCATCATGAGAGATGCATGGAAAATTTATATAAAAGAACCAGTACTTTTTATTTTCACTATTCTTATGTAACGTGTACATATACATTGCTCTATACTATCAGCTACAGTGATTATTTTTTTTTAAATGTTATCTTAGATAACTTCCTAAACAAATGGTGACTGTGAAAACATCTCTCTGAATTTCAGAAGCTAAAAAAAAAAAGAGGAAAAAAAATAACCCTCATTTATAAAACAGAACCTGACGCAAAGTGCAGTTGAGTTATAACATGTTCTCTGCTGTAATTTAATCTTTGAAAGAACTTTGCAGTTTATTTCACTCAATCATGATCAAAACTCCACTATTACCATTTAAACAATTCAATTTTATTTTTTTTTAATCTAAAGCAAGAGTGAGCTGTTTTCTTTTAAAACGGTGACAAGCTATATTAATATGAGGTAGTATAAAGTATAATATTACAGGTCTGATAAATGAGAGAAGGTTCCTAAACCAGTAGAGGGCAGAACAAGAAACATGCTGCCACCTCTCCTCACCCAGACTGGTGGTGAGCTGACACGGCACCGGACTGGGAAAGGTATCAGTTACTAGCTCCCGAGATAATGCCACAGGAACTAAAAACCTAACAATAATTAAAATAAATAAGTAATTAAAAGCAAGAGGGACAAATGACAAGCAAAGATGTCCCCAAGTAAAATGGCAAGTTCTGTTCCGTTCTGGTGCTGTACCTCAAATTATTCCATTGTAGTATGAGAATTTTTTTGTTCAGTTTAAAAAAAAATGCTGCACATACGACAACAAACAGATGAAACTGTACTTTTTTTTCCCACAACCCTTAATTTACTTTTAGGCGAAACGTTGTGTGTAAGGTCATCTCACAGCACAACTGAACATACAAATACTTATCCGTAAGCTAAGCGAACTAGTTAGTATGTGATTAGTTCTATATCTGCTCTTCTATGGTCATGAAGTACATTAGGAAAAGTTCTGCTGTCATAGAGAGTATTATTTCTTAAGTCAAATGGTAAGACTGAAAGAGAGGTTAAGAAGAATAAAAGGCCACACAATATGTTTTGAAAAAAACAATTAGTAAAAAAACAACAACAGAGTTTGGAATGGACTTGTAACTTCCTGGTTTTAAATATCTACAAGGATGGAGACTCCACCACCTCCCCAGGTGACCTGTACAGTGTTCAACCAGTGTTCAGTCACAATTTAAAAAAAAAAAAAAAAAGAGCTTATGTTTAAATGTAATTTCTATTATTTCAGAGTGTCCATCTCATCTTGTCCTTCAGTATTTACGCTTGAGTAATTCAGCCTGGTTTCCAGGTCTACCTATAGAAAAAGCAGCAAGGAGTAACAAATTGCCATGAGAGTTATTTGGAGTCAAAAACATTTGTTTGTTACCATGGCTGGAAGGACAGAAGAAAGAAATAGCACCAAGAAACTCAGAAAACCTGAATAAAATACTCAGAAAAAAGAAATTGAACTGCATATACTCAAAATTATATTATATACACAAGAAATAATTTACAGCATGAAGTTTTCCTGCATCCTAGAAATTGTTTATGTAAGAATTATACAGGAAAAATGGAGGCAGCGAAGATGCAGGAAACTACAGAGTAAAATGATGTACGGCACAGCCTTGGGGAACAACAATATTAGAAAAGCTTAATTACAACCAAACTATCTTGTCTGCTAAATTAAAGAACATTAAGAGCAACATAACTGGCAGACGAAATTTCACTGTGCTCCCTGTTTAGTAGAACTTTGAGTATCCTTAAATATAGCCTAATTCTGTAAACAGATTTTGTTTCCATTCTGTTGCCTGTGCATATACAGTCATTATCCTCAGGGCATCTATACACAATAATGGACTTGAAGATACTGCTCAATATTTATCTCGCTATTATGGCCAATGGATCAGGTAGTTTAAAAAAAAAATCTTGCTACAACTCCTTGAAATTTAGCTGCTCAAAAATAAAAAGTAACATAATTGCAGAGGTTTGTGTGTAAGAGGTTTTTTTTCCCCGTTATTATTTCTCATTTTCTTGGAGAGGGATTTAGAAGGGAACCAAAAAGCAGGCACAGAATGCAACTGACTTGCATCTACACAGCCAAGCTTTAATATTAGAAAAGCTGTCCCATGAGAAGAAATACTGAAGCCAAGCTTGCTGTTCATTTGTGTCCTGTCTTTTCCATACATCTCACCATATCACAGTAAGTCTGAGCTGTGAATCCCAATCCTTTAAGGCCATTTCTATTTACATGTTCATATACCATGCCAAAGCTTCTATCTTAATACCTTAACAGGAAAGAGAGAGCAGCATAACTAGCTTTCTGTAGGAAAGCAGATTGACTGAAAGCTGTACAATACTTCCCTTGACTAGAGGTATGAAGTTAGGCTTCTCAATAATTTTCAAAAAACTTTAAACCCAAAGGAAAGAAGTGTCTGTGAAGCTTGACTGAAATTGTTCAAAAAATTCAAGTGGTGAAAGGGGAAAATATTTTCACAAAGAAAGTCATTGCAAAATATTTTACCAAGAACTATTTAAAAATAAATAAATAGTAAATAAATTGATGGAATTTTATTTCTGAACACCAAGGCCTAAAACCTTCACAGTCTGGCTGACTGACTAACAGTAAGTTGACAATTAAGAATGGCTGAGCTAAAATCCAGCTGTCAGAATACCATTAAAGAAAAATGAAATGAAGAGTAAAAAGAAATACTTTTCTAGTATCTATTTATATGCAGACAGGGATATATTTGTTACACAATAAAGAAAGAATAAATGTAAAGTGATAACAGTGGAAGGAAGTTTTCCACGTGGCAATTTTTCTCAGAAAGCTGTGGCCCATAATGTTGAAAATAGCGGAACTCCCATCCTATGCACTGTTTCCACTCTAACTCATGCAATTTCCAGTAATGCTGGCCACTAGAAAACACAAACACAGCTCAGTACCAACAGCAGGGCCCCTTTAAAGAAAGTCACTGGCATAAGGAAATGTTGAAAATGAACCTTAGTATCCTCACTGATCTTGAAATGATACGTTATTAAATTCTGTTTTCACCAGTGTATTACTAAAAGCTGCTCTTCCTAACGAGAAAAAATACAGAAAATCTAGAGTCAAAGGGAAGAATATTTTCCTTTAGTGTCAAATTGAACACTAAAATTAAAAAGCATCAGAATAGCTTTAGTCCTTTAAATTCTATAAAGGTTTAATTCAAGTACTTTCTATGAACTTTAATTAAAAATATCCTAAGATATAAGAAACAGTATAATCACTCATTGCCACTTCTCATAGTCAAATGGAAGAGGGAAGATTTAAAGAGAAGAAATCCAGCTATTTAGTAAAACTACCACAATATGTTTTGTCTAATAAATTGTGCTACAGGTACATTGCCACTGAGAGTAGTTCGAGGTGAATGTTACCCTTCCATAATGAAAACTTTTACACATATATATAGATTCACATATATCAAAGTTTTAAAAATAATTGGAAGGGCAATTTAAAAACAGCTGTGTGAACTAAAAAGTTAACTTTTTGAAACAAAAGTTAAATTTAACTAGAAAGTGATAAATTAGAAAGGTCACTGTAAACAAATTCTAGTCCTGCACTAGTTTATTTTTAAACAAGAGTTGATATGTACTGTAACCACGCAACAACTTCAGGTCCGGA